TTTCGAGGGAGCCTTCTTCCTCCAGGAGATATAACCCCATTTGCCTCTACTGCAGATATGATTTTTTACTGATTGTGACCATGCCAAATAATTAGTTCCATCTAGCTTGACTGTGGTCATAGCCAGTAGAGAGTCAATAGAGGCTCCCGGAACCTGTTCGGATTCAACAACATGCTTGTTTTCAACTTCTAAATGGTCCATCTTCTTAAAACATTTCAAAAATAACCTCTAATAACTTCAAATCACAATCAACGAAGACAAAAAAAATATTGTGCTATGAATCAACCTCTATGCAATCGTACCTGTTAACTGCGTCACACCCGGAACCCAAGAGAAACAGAAAAAACTCAGCCGCACATTATAGACTTCACAGAACACCAAGCAACTTGAATCGATCTTCAGGATGAAGAACAAGAAGTCTTTCAATCACTGAGCGCCTAGGTCAAACTCCTTGTGGGGCCTGTAATAAGATTTCTCCAGTTAATTAGGGTTTCGGGCAACACACTTGATGCTGTCAAGAGGACGACAAAGACAATCTCCTCTCCAGAAACCACTAACAACTGGGCTGAAGAAAGTTTCTTTAACTATTCATCCGATTCAGTTCTCCATACACACTGTGTATGGGAAGAAAGAGGAGAAAAAGAGAAGAAGAGCCCACTCTGATACCAAGAAGAAAAACAACCTTTTGAAACGAGAACTGTTCAAAATGTTGCAGAAAATTGATTGAGAATAGCAGAAATCAGGTTTCAAGAAGAGAGAAGGGGAAGAAGAAGGTGGCGGCAATAAGGGTTCAGAGAGAGATTTTCAAACATAATCTCCTCTTACACCCCTAATCCTATTTCATTAACTTAATTTTAGTAATTTACAAAGAGGCCCTTAGTTGGGCAGATAATTAAAAGACATAGCATAAGAGAAAAGGCCCAAGTTGAGGCCCATTACAACAAAGAAAATAAAGAAACAAAATAAGACAAACAGTCTATGGGCCATTCGGCCCATCTTCTCTACACCCTTAATGGGGTGGCCAGCACTAAAGAAATAATTAAAGAAAATAAAAGAAGGCCATAAGGCCCATAACTAAGAAACATAACTTTTAAACACTACTTAAAAGAAATAAAGAACACTAGGGCCCATTCGGCCCATTCTCACTACATGTTTTATTGTCAATCTTCTCTCTTTGAATTTAATGATTTCTCATTCATTCCCATTGTCCCATAATTTAAATTCAAATGCATTAACTATGACCATTAACTTTCTTTAATTACTAATCCAAATGATCAACTCAATTCAAATTCCCCTTGTAAAAACTATGTGCAAGTGATGTCATTTGAACCTAGAAAACCTACGTGAAGGACAGGCATTCTTACCATTAGACCATGACTAACCATGCCATTATAAAAAGTTGGTTTTAACTCTTAAGTCATTTCATAAAATTAAAGTTGTTACAAGGTTAATGGGTTAGGTGGGTTGGGTTGAACCCAACCCATTTATTTTTATTTAAATGGGTCATTAATGGGTTGGCAGGTTAGATGGTTCGGGTGGAAGCTCAACTCAAATCCAAGTCGCCCAATTGCCACCTCTAGTTAATACCCTCTCAATGAGGTTCAAGTTGGTGGTTTATATAGAAGGTGTATATAAACTTGGTGGTTGAAAAAGAGGTTCAAGCTGGCAAGGTATTGGGGATTTTCTTTTTAGGTGGTCATTGGTGAAGAGCATGCAAGAAAAGTGTGTTTTTAGAATTGAAAAAGAGAGAAAGAACTGTATAATAAAACTATTAGGAAAGATTAAATTGAAGATGCTGCTGGAAATGTTCTTAATATTTCTTGGGTATATGGGTTGAAGTTGGAGGATTTGTTTTGAGTTTAGAATGGTTTTGCATGGACACAAAAGTGGAATCAGGATTCAACATGTATTTGGCTATTTGATTCACCAAGAAGAAAAAACAAGTACTTGTGGACAGTGTTTTAAAAGGCGTGCGCGCCTCCAGGTGAGGTGCTCCCAAAACGCTCTAAGGCGTATGCTAGAGGCGCTGACACCTCTAAGGCGTACGCCTCATGTGCTTTTTTCATGAGGTGTGCTAGAGGCGTACGCCTCATGCACATCTTATCCGCTGCCCCTTCGGCTGGGGGGCGAATTTCGATGCAAGCCCAATTTGTTTTTTTTTTTTTTTTGAGTTAGGGGGGGTCTTGCTTCGCTTCGACAAGATCCCCCCTTTCAACTAATCCTATGCATCTTTATTCTTCTTAATATAAAAGGTTTTTATTAAAAATAAAGAAAAAATGAGATCCCCCCTTCCTTTTCATCCTCCTCCCCTTCCTTCTCCTAACCCCCCTCCTCTTAAGGAGGCTTACGCCTCTTGCGTTCTGAACTACGCCTCACGCCTCTAGGTAGTGGAACGCCTCGCATCACGCCTCCGCGTTTTAAAACATTGCTTGTGGACACATCTATAGAGGATGATGAACTATTAAAATATTCCATACTTTTTTTTTGAATTCTAACATTATATTACCTATTTAAAAGGTCTAGAACTTTATCTTTGTTATTTAAAAATGATTTCTAAAGAAATAGCATTCATTGTGCATATTAGCTATTCATATGTCAAATAAGCAAGTAGATAGTGGGAAATTTGGCTATAGAGGATGCCAAAAGACAGGGACAAGTTGTAGGCAAAGGTGGTGGTAAGCATACATGGGCTGTTGGTCAATGGATGGGATGCTAGAGTGTTGGCTAGGGCAACCCGAGCTTCTGCTTGGAAAGTGATTGATGCAGTTCTACCATTATTCCTTCCTTTTGTAAGCTATCATCTTTAGTGTGGGACCATATGAAATTCTAGGAACATGTCTAGTTAGGAACCTCCTCTCTCAAGGACTAATATCCTTCTTTATTTGCACTGTCAAAAATGAGCTTATCTCCAATTTTCTTGTTCCAAACTCAAGGAAATGGATTTGATTGGGACTTTGGCTTTAGGGGGAATATAAGTGATTTTGAACTTTCCAGTGTACTAGCTTTACTTCAAACCCTTGAAGAAATTTATTCTGATCCCTCTAAGTTTGATGGCTGGATATGGACCCTCTCTTCTTTTGGATCATTTTCATGTGCTTCCTTTTTCAAGGTTCTAACCCAACCATCTTTTAGCTATATTCAACTCTTACCTGTGAAGGAGGTATGGTGCAAGCCTATCCCTCCTAGGATTGGAGCTTTTTGTTGGAAAGTTGTTCAGGAAAGAATTGTACTTCTGACCTACTCCAAAAGAAGAGACCAAAGTGGTGCTTATCTCCTCACCAGTAGTGTATCCTGTGTAAAGCCAATGGTGAGATTTGCTATCATTTAACAGCTGATCCCTGTGTAAAGCCAATGAGATTTGCTATGTGTCGAAGCGGATCTGGGAAAGTTCTTCAGTTGATCTTTGTAATGATGCTCATTGTGTTAGGGACCTTGTTGATTGGCTCTCTTTTTGGGTTAGGCTCCAATAGGCTGTCTTTATTAGTCCAACACTCTCTTATTCTCTAGCATCTTTGGAAGGCACATTGCAAGTTGGTTATGGTGGCATTTGACCCAGTTCAGGTGCTTCACTCCATTTCTGCTCATGTCATTGACATCCAAGCAGGTTTAGATGCTTAGACATCAGATGGGGGACCCCTCCCCCATGGATCCTCTACTCCCCAAACTCTTCATTGGTCCAGACTCCCACCTAACTAGTTAAAGCTCATTTTGGATGGATCTTCAAATGAGTACTCATCTGGAGCTGGAATAGTTCTTAGAGATCATAGGGGAGAATTCTTACTGGCTCAAGCCATCAAGTTACGCCCCTGCCCACCTGCTGAGTGTGAGGCTCTTGCTCTTTTGGAATCTTTGAGGCTTATTGTGAATCTCAACCCCTCTAATATACAGATTGAAGGGGACACACTCACCATCATCCAAACCCTGTTGGGAGAGAACTCCTCTCCTCCTTGGCAAGTCTATACCTTGGTGGCTGATTGCAGGGCATTTTTTTTATTCTATTGCCCACTGCTCCCTTAAGTTTGTACAGCATTCTTGCAATAGAGTTGCACGTATCTTAGCTAGGCATGCACTTTCTCTGCCTCACCACTTCACCTAGTCTTGTGCGCCTCGTGTCATTGTGCAAGCTTTACAAGCTGATCTTGCTTCAAGCAGTTAATGAATTTTGCCTTTTTGGCGTAAAAAAAGGTTTAATTGAGCATAATGAAATCAAGCCAAGCAGAGAAGGAGCATTTTGTGAAGGTCTAAAGGTCTAAAGATCTTTACCTTTAGAAAAGGTCCAAGGTTTTGTGTTATGTATTCAAGGTGTATGTAAAGGTGTTTAGTTTTGCTCATAGATGCTGTTAAATTGATTGAAGATGTTTTCTACAAGCAATCTTTGCTGGTATGTAAGGTCACATGGTCTTGCCATATATGGAGTATCTATAGCTTCATCAAGTTCTTATGTTGTCCTCCTTCCCCCACAAAAAGAAAAAGGAAAAGCCAAAAGAGAGGAACTAATACTACTATTTTTTCTAATTACATTTTTGGCTAGCACTGAAAAAATCCTATGCCATAGCCTTTGAGTAAAGAAGTTTTTTAAACCTATTTTAATTTTACCAGCTGAACCAACACTTCATCTCCATGAGTAGAATCTTGTCTTCTCATATAAATACATTTCGGATGATCCTTATTCTAATTACTGAAAAAAGAAGGTTCTCCTTTAGGAATCGCAAGACTGTTTCTTACATTTGCTCTTGTTTGTGTCCTATTTCTTCTATTCGGTATTTCTAATTCTTTCATGGACATTGAAGAGTTGCCTTCTAAATACCAATAGTGATTTGTTTGGTCAGCTTTCAGTTTTCGTTTGATTTTAGTCTCCAGTCATTCATTTATAATTCCTTGCAGGCAAGCCCCTTGCAGTTTGTGCTATCATTGTCATTAGGCTTCTAAATTTGACCATCATGTGCAGTTGCTCAATACTTTTGTCATCTATTGCTTTGTTTTCTGCTTGTGTAACTCAGAAAGCTTGGAGAAATTAATGCAATGGCATCCAATAGCAAATTTGATCTTTCTTCTATTAGCCCAGATAAGACAGCATATCCTTCTGGGCAGCGTGGAGCGTACAGTGCTTCTTCTTCATTGGATAGATCAGGAAGCTTCCATGAGGGCATGGATAATAATAGAATCCTGTCAGCACTTCCTAGCATGTCAAGAAGTGGTTCATCAGTCGCTCAAGTTGATGTGATGAAAAATTTCCAGTCCTTGCATTTTGATACAAAATTGATGGCTGTAGACCATAGGTTCCCTCGACAATTTGAACTAAAAAGAATCCTAGTTGCTGCTACTGCTGGTGATGATTCTTCATCTCTCTCAAGTAGCAAGCTCACTGCACTGGAGGATCTTAAACGGGCTAAGGTCATTTTACAGGAGAGCTTTGTGAGGGCAAGGTATTTGTTCCTTCCATTTGCACTGCAGTTTGGAGATATGATTGGTTTAACAAAGTATCTTTCTATGCAGAGATCGGGGGAGAAACCTGCATGAAGCCATGTTGAAACTAGGGAAAATTTTCCCTAGTGCTTTGGTGAGGAAGCGAACACGTGCAGATGCCTCATCAAGTGACCGGTCAAATGCCTCAGTACCAGTTCTTGGAGGAAACACTACTAAGTTGGGTCATCATGGTCATGCAATCTCAAATGCTATAGATATGGAGCCACACAAATTTGAAGAGAAGACTAAAAGTGGTATTCCCAACAAACGTGTTCGAACATCTATGGTGGATGTAAGGGTTTGTATCATGCATGTCTCATCTCAGCTTTCCAGCTATCTTTTCGGCTTTTGTTTGTGGCTCTTTATTGTCTTGCTACAACTGTATAATTATCTTAATTAAGTTGCTCGTTTCAGACAAAGCAGTTTCATTTAAACAATGAACAAGAAAGTTGTTTGGTTAACAATGATTTTAGTAGTCATAAATGTTCACAGATTTGGAATATGTTTTATGATGTTCATGATCTTCAACTTGCAGTGCAGTAGTGCATTTAGCTATTTATCTCTCTTCCCCGTTCCAACCATTTTCTGGCATTTAAATTCATAACTTTTGCTACCTTTCTAATATAAACTGATCAGTTTATAATTAAAAATAAATGATAATTGAATTGTTTTCTAATCTTAGCTTTATTGTTATGTGGTTTTGAACCATTTATATGTTTTCCATATAGATAATCTTACTTCTCTAGATTTTTCTGTACTTTCTCATTTAATTTTCAGGTGATCATTGAATCATATATATATATATTTATTTTAATTCATTTTCAATAAAAGAAAACTTCTGAGGCCTATAACACATCACTCCAAGGTTTATTCCTTGCAAATATAGAGGACACCTTAACTCACACCCTTCGCCTTTTAAATTACCTCCATGTGTGTTTCAGTTTTTTTTTTTTTTTTTTATAATTTTTTTATGACGTTTGTGTGTATGAATATATTAATGTTTCTCTTCCTAATTGTATCAACATCTCTAAATGCTGTTATTATTTGGACCCTTGCATGTTGGTTTTTTCTGGCATACCAAAGTTGATCCTTTTGTTCACTTGGAAATCCATCCCAGGTGTTCCTGATGCCATAATCATGTTTCTTTTCTTATTATATTTATTTTGGTTCTCCATTTCTGGTAATTTGACATTTCTTTCCCTCTCATTTAGTTCTATCCTTTTCTGTTGTTGACTACAATGTTAGACCAGTTTCAACTTTTTCATTTAAGACTGTTTCTGACTGATTTAGATGGATGCACAGGCTAATGCTCTTTCAGTGCCATCTGGAGTCATGGATAGGGACAGAGAAATGGTCAGAGTTGCAAATAGTGGTGCAGTTCAATCCGAGGAAAAGGATAGGGCATTATCCATTGGTATGGATGGTTGGGAAAGGTCAAAAATGAAGAAGAAGCGGTCTGGAATAAAGTCAGATGTTTCTTCTAGCACAATGTCGACAAGACCTCTTGAAGGTGATCGTGAATCTAAACGGGCTATGCAGCAAAGGCATGGGACTGATGCCCGATCAAGGATGAATATCGCTCATGGCTTCAGGTGTGAACTTCTACAATGCTACAATCATGCATCTGCATTTAGTGATTGATCTGGATTTTCATCTGAAGATAATTTATCAGTTCTATGTGGCATGGTGAATACAATAATCTGTGATTTTTTATGATGCCAAAGACACGAAAGGAATACAATAATCTGGATAGTCTGTTTTTTATTTGTATTTGAGTTGCTTTATTTGGAGTAGCTGGCATATAGGTGTTGCCTTAACACCTGGATATGTTGTAATATTTTATTTTTTAATAAATTTTATTTTTACTATAAAAAAACTCCAGCATTGTTAATCTAATTGATTTTCTTTTTAGGGAAAAACCTGATCTGTTTTAGTATGACTGGTACTACTGGTTGTTTAGTTACATTTCATTCTGCTAAGTTTTATTTTTTATTTAATTTGAATATTTTATTAAGCTCTTATAAAAGAAGGGTGTGCATTGTATTCCTAGAACCCCTTAGAGAATTTAAGCCAACTTCACTGTTCACTTTCTTTACATTCAATAGTCAGCTCTAGCGGAATTCCCCCAATAGAATTGATCCCTTTGCCCCCTTGTTTGGCTAATGCATCAGCTAGATTCTTAGCTGATGTTTGTACTCAACAAAATGCCATTCTCAATTGTCTAGCAAGTACTTGTTTTAGAATGTGCCCATACCTCCACGACTCGGAACTATTGTTTTGGAGCCATTCCACAAGGCCACAACTACACTGGAATATCTTTCACCATAAGGTTCTTGTGACTGTGATGTGAACAGAAAAACAAATCACATGCAACACTTAAAGTCAGCAATAATCGCAAGAAATACCAAGCTGAAAACAACAAAACAAGTTGGATTTTTAGGGATTTCAGACCTAAACCTAAAGTAGAACTCCTCCTGGAACAGTTCCGCCATAGTAACAATGGCATCAATCTGGCCTCCCACACAGACACGTAGCAATAGAGGGATTGGAAGGTGCCAAAATGGGTTGAGTCTTCAAAACCCAAGATCCCAATACTTGAAAACCCTAGCTGGGGCTGAGCTACAACTCAAACAAGAGAGAAAGAACCAAAAAAAGCCCTTTACAGAAACAACTTCCTTCTCTTTTATAAGACTCAATGGCTTACTGGAGAAGCCAATTAAAATATTTACAAATGAGCCCCTAGAATGTTACCCTTTCACAAACAACTCCTTAAAAACAAAGCTAACTTCAAACAAACCCCCAAAAGACAACTTTTGTTACAAAAAGACCCAAGAGACCAAAACCCAACAGATGTGCACCCAACTGCCCTTAACCAGAATCTGAATTATAAAATGATGAAAATACTCCTGGACCCAAAATATCAACAAAGCTACCCAAAAACAACAATTTGGGATCCTACTAAAAAATGCAAAACAGAATACACTCACAAATTCCCTATGTTGAGTTTCCATGCAGTATGGCCAATAATTCTGCCCTTGTTGAGTTTCCAAATCCAATGGGTCCAGGAAAGATTGTTTGGATATTTCCTTGGCTGTTACTGAAAACTCCGCCAATTCCTGAATTTCACAAAGTGCCTATGTTGCAACTTGTAAACATCAAAATTCAGTTTCATGGTATCAGGAGGATGGGGAAGGGATCATAGACAGTTCCTTACTGTTGATGAATTTGCAATGCATTGCCAACCTCTGATAATGTCACCAGTTGAGAAGGGAGAAAATATATTTAGTATCTTAGACCAATGGGCCAATTTAATATAAATGTTTTGCCAACCTCTGATAATGTCACCAGTTGAGAAGGGGGAAAATATATTTAGTGATCTTAGATCAATGGGTCAGTTTAATATAAATGTTTTTAATCACCTCCTCCCTGGAACGGGTTGTTTCTTTGAATATTCTTGCATTACCCTTTTCTCAGATTGGCCAAAGGATTGTTGCTCTGTTGCATCTCCAAAGGACATTCCCTCTCTTCATTGGTGGGGAAAAAAGAATTGTTTAATATAGCCTTGTTCTCAAAGATCCTAGTATTTCTTTCGCCTCATATACTTACTAAAAATGGATGCTCTAATTTGTTCTCTGCATTCTACTAAGCTTTATTGGAAGTTTTGTAGCTGACAGCATACATATTAAATAAGGCTGTTTATTTGAAGCCTTCTCAGACATTCCCCAAACTGTCTGAGGTTTAGGACTACAACTCGGTTGGGTTGACCCAGGCATTAAAACCTTAGTATAATCATAAACCAACCTGATCTTTAACCCAAGGTTTTTGATCCTAATCCAACTTGACCATGAAATCAGGTAGGTAAGGTTGGGTTTGGGTTGGAACTTTGCCTACCAAATTTACATTCACATGAACAAATAGAAACTATCATACTCATGCAAGCAGGGTAGGAGCCATGGGCTAGGAGGTGGGCCCTATCTTAATGGGGTATCCTCTCCAGATGTAGGAATCCCAACTTCACCCCCACATTCACACATTATTATATATGCAAATGATATGAAGGCATCATAGTTTATTAATATTTTACAGTGAAAAAACCCATCATTATCATTCCACCTTTCCTTCCCTCACATAAACATATTGTATACATAAATTTATACATGTATCCTAATTCATACATAATATAAAGAAATGATATGAAGGTATCATAGTATATTATTTATACATGCAGTTACAAGCGTGTAATATATGGGTTGGGCTGCCTAAGGTATCAAACCCTAACCTAGCGTGGCTCTATATGAGATTAGCATTTTCCAACCCTAATCTTCAACCTAGCCTAAAACCTAATTTTCAATCCAACCCAACCCTCACATATTGAAAATATTTGAATTTATAACTCAATACATATATCATAATTATTTTTGAAAAGTAACATAAATAACATAAAGAATTTACAACTACAAGGGTAATACATTAGGTTAAACTCAATCTTCAGCCTGACTCAAGTTGTACCCCTGCTAAGGTTGTACAATCGGCCCTCTTCCTGGTCACATGTCAAGCTATAATACCTGGATACCTGCATAACAATGAAACATACAAGCAGTGGTGAAGGTGGAGATGATGACAAGTAAATGTAGGCATACAACTTAAGGTACTGTCTTTAAGATAGTGAACTCCCTCATTACTGGAAATTTTCTCCATTATATGCAGGTGGCTCAGGAAAGTCTGTCCCTTGTAATACAATGCTCACATAACTTGTTCTGTGGAAACAAAGGCTATCCTTCTTAGATCTACATTGAATTGGATATCCAAAAAATTAGTATAATAATAAATAAATACTATTATAATGATGATGATGATGATAGTTTTTCTTTAGGGTTCTTCTCTAGTGTCCATCTCTACTCCCAATCTAATGGGAGCCTTTCTCTTAGTCTATTTATAGACGGTAAGTTGCCTTTATGCAATCTACTTCTGCCTCTTCTGTGCTCACTAATTTTAATAGCTATCTCTTAATTGTATCTTCAAAAAAAAAATGGTATTTCTTATGTCTTAATTGGACACTTGCATGGACATACTCTTGCTTGCTGTTATGAAAGGGGTACAGATTGTAGGCGAACTGGGTTTGATAAATTTGGAGGTTGATGGGGATTCAAAATTGGTGACTGGTTGGCTGAAAGATCCAGAGTTGATAATTTTTTTGGTAAGTAAAATAAAAGTTTCATTAAAAAGAAAAAACAAGTTACAAATGGGGTGACAAGTCATCACCCGAGTACAAAGACCAATTTTCAGATTAAAGAACAAGCTCCACATTATGTATCTGATAATCCAGGACCTCTCCTAACCTAAAACCAAAATCCTCCTTTTCTAGATGACTGAATTCTGGAAGAATCAGCAACCATTCTACCACTGATCTGCCCACAGCCGCAACCATCTTGTCCATGCTGCATGCTTTGTCTTCGAAGTCCTTCTGTTCCTCTCCTTCCAAATGTTCCAGGAAATTGCAAATGGTGTTTTAGGGATGAGATGAAGAGGTTTAAATGGCTAACTAGGAACATGAACCTGGGAATACTCTGGGTTAGGAGAATGGCTAATGCTATAGCAGATGGGTTAGCTAAACAAGGGGTAAACAGGGATAGTTTGTATTGGGCTTAGTTGTAAATGATTTTTTTATTTTGATGTTTGAGTGAGAGGTAATCCACTACTACTTCCAAAGCTATGATACAGGAAGTTTGGTCCCCACCGGCACAACAAAGGGTGAAACTGAACTTTGATGGAAGCTCTATAGGTAATCCAGGCCCATCTGGTATAGGTGTTTTCAGAGATAATGAAGGCAAGATAATGGCTTTGTTTTC